GGAGTAACCAAAAATGCCTGATTTGATTTAAAGACCACTTCCAGAGACAAATTTCATACTGGCACTGCTTGGATAACCAGAGAGAGTAGCTAGCCCAGAGACCTAAGATAAAAACCAAATATTGTTCCTAAATAAAAGAGTAATAAAATGATTTGTAATGATATTCTATGTTCTGGTAGATCTGTGACTTATTCAGCAACCATCAGAGAAGCTTCCTCCTGAAGCAATGAGAACCATTACAGATCTCCACAACCAGATACTTTACACACACACACACACACACACACACACACACACACAGAGAGAGAGAGAGAGAGAGAGAGAGAGAGAGAGAGAGAGAGAGAGAGAGAGGAGTCAGAGAGAGAGAGAAAGGGAAAGAGGGAGAGAAAAGGGGAGGGATGGAGGGAAAGACCTCAGCTCTAAATGCATTATTCCTATTAAATCACTTCACTCAAAACTCAGTATGCCTCACAGAAATGGAGGTAGAAAGAGCCAGAGGTAATGAAAGATAGCAGGATGACAAGGCCCCCCAATCAACTGAATAAATCTTATATGAAGTCAGAGATTGTGATTCCTCCAGAAGTTCTTTTATTGTACAAGATTGTTTTGGCTATCCTGGGTTTTTTGCTTTTCCATATGAAATTTAATACCATTTTTTTGAGGTGTGAAGAATTTTGATGGGAAGTGCATTGAATCTCTAGATTGCATTTGATAAGGTTGCCATTTTACTATGGATTCAATCTACCTAAGCATGGGAAATCTTTCTACTATCTGGTGTCTTCTTCAATTTCTTTCTTCAAAGATTAATGTTCTTGTCATACAAGCCTTCCATGTTTTTGGTTAGAGTTACTCTGAGATATATTTGGACTTGAGTTTTATACATGGTGATAGATATGGATCTATTTTCATTCTTCTACATGTTGACATCCAGTAATTCCAGCACCATTTGTTAAATATACTTTATTTTTTTCCATTTGATTTTTTTTTTGCTTCTTTGTCAAAATTTAGGTGTTCCAAGTTGTGTGGATTAATATCCGGGCCTTCATTTCAGTTCCATTGATCCTCCTGTCTGTTTTTATGCCAATACCAGGCTGTTTTCAGTACTGTAGCTCTGTAGTAGAATCAAAGACCTCAACATAAAGCCAGACACACTGAACCTCATAGAAGAGAAAGTTGGAAGTACACTTGAATGCATTGGCACAGAGACCACTTCCTAAATATAACCCCAGTAGCATAGACACTGAGAGAAGCAATTAATAAATGGGACCTCCTGAAACTGAAAAGCTTCTGTAAAGCAAAGGACATGGTCAACAAAACAAAATGACAGCCTACAGAGTGGGAAAAGATCTTCACCAACCCCACATCAGGCAGAGGTCTGATCTCTGAAATATACAAAGAATTCAAGAAATTGGTCATCAAAAAAAAAAAAAAAAAAAAAAAAAAAAAAAAAATGGTAAAAAAAAAAAAAAAAAAAAAAACAAAAATAAAAACAAATAATCCAATAAAAAATGGAGTACAGACCTAAACAGAGAAGTCTCAACAGAGGCAACAGAGGAATCTAAATGGCTTAAAGACACTTAAGAAAATGCTCAACATCCTTAGTCATCAGAGAAATGCAAATCAAAACAACTCTGAGATTCCATCTTGTACCTGTAAGAATGGCCAAGATCAAAAACACTTATGACAACTTATGCTGGAGAGATTATGGGGTAAAGGGAACACTCCTGTTTTTCTAGTGGGAGGGCAAACCCCCTTGGATGTGCGAGTGGTGATTTCTCAGAAAATTAGAAAACAACCTTTCTCAAGACCCAGTAATACCACTTTTGTGTATATACTTAAAAGATGCTCAATTGTGCCGCAAGGACATGTGCTCAACTATGTTCATAGCAGCATTTTTTGTCTCAGCCAGAGCCTGGAAACAACCTAAATGCCTCTTGACTGAAGAATGGATAAGGGAAATGTGGTACATTTATAAAATGGAGGACAACATAGCAGAGAAAAAATAATGAAACCTTGAAATTTACAGGCAAATGATGGAGCTAGAAAACATCATTTTGAGTGAGGTAACCCAGACACAGAAAGACAATTATCATATGGACTCACTCATAAGTGGTTTTTAAACATAGAGCAAAGAAAATTAGCCTACAAATCACAATCCCAGAGACCCTAAACAGCAATGAGGACCCTAAGAGAGACATACATAGATCCAATCTACATGGCAAGTAAAAAAATACAAGTTCTTCTGAGTAAATTTGGAGAATGAGCATGGGGACCTTGGGAGAGGGTTGAAGGGAAAGGAACAGAGAAAAATATAGAGTTTAATAAAAATCAATAAAATTTTAAAAAACTCATATGAAATCATAGACTGAAATGTGAAACACAGGTCCTCTCTTGGACTCTTATTCTTCTGTTGCATTGCCTTGTCCAAAGTCAGTGTAATACTTTTGTTTTACTGTATTATATTTATTTGGTTATATTTTGTTCTTATCTTTTAGAATCCTGCTCTTTTTCAAATGAGAGACAAAATGGTGTGAATTTGGTGGGGAGGGAACTGGGGAGGAACTTGGAGTAGTAGAGGCAGAGGAAAATGTAACCAAGATATATTGCATGGGAAAAGAATCTTTTTTTTTTCATAAAAAGAATACATTTAAAGAATAGATAGATAGATGATAGACTGACAGACAGACGGACAGGTGAGAAGACTGATAACAAATCATCATCAAATTGACTGCAGAGAATACAAAAAGACAAAGAAATGTTCTATTGCATAAAGCTTTTAAGTAATAAACAAGAATATCATAAAAATAACAACATCAAATTTTCTTGGAGATATCCACCAGAAATTGAGGAATCATGTCTGAGGCAACCAGCAAGAGTTCTCCATTTGAATTCCCAGGAAAACAGAGAAAAACTGAGAGAATGGCCAAAGCAAGTTTATCATGAGGTGGGAATGGTGAACATTTGGGAATTCTAGTTTGCTATTTTAACTATTTTAATTATTTTCTGCTGGAAATCATAAGCATCTCATTTGTTCATATGATCTCTATTTGTTGCTGTTTGTTCTATTACTTACCAGTCACTTCTAAGGGGACTCTTAGAAGTGAAGTACAGATAAGTGCCATAAATTAGCTACCTTAGATGATTAATGCTGGACATCTGGAGCCTGTAATATTTTTTTCTGTCTGTGTGTCTGTCAGTCACCTTTTTATGTACCTCGTACTTGTTATTTATTCTTTTACTTTTCTTCCTGTACATGTTGTAAACTCAATTCAAAAGGAAAAGTGGGACTACATATAGTAAGTCATTATCCAGACTGTGCTGAATACCAGATATACAGTATTTACAGTCAAATTGAATAGACTGAGCAGGGTGTACATAAAAATATATACATATACATATTATATAGTTATATATGTATGTTACATAATATATGTCTGTAGAAATATATACACATATACATATGTATATATAAGAATATATGTGTACATGTATGTAGAAACAATGAAAAAAGAGACTATGAGTCAAAGAACAAGGAGAGAAATATGGGATGGTTAGAAAGGAAAAAAGAACAGAATAAATGATGTGGGAGTGTCATATATCAATCTGTTGATTTCATTGGTTAAGCAATAAAGAAACTACTTGCCCTGATAGGTTAAAACATAGGTGGGAGGAGTAAACAGGAGGAAGATGAAGTGAGGTAAGACTCATCAGACAGACTCAACAACTCTGCTCTCTGGAGCAGAGACGCCAGGCTCCCCTCTCCCAGGCAGCTGAGACCCAGGATGGATGTAGGCTAGAATCTTCCCAATAAGCGCACCTTGGGGTGCTTACTCACATTATTAGAAATGGGCTAAATTAATATGTGAGAATTAGCCTAGAAGAGGCTAGATAGAAATGGGCCAAGCAGTCTTTAAAAGAATACAATTTGTGTGTTGTTATTTTGGGCATGAGCTAGCAGGCGGCCGGGGTGCTGGGGACGCAGCCCCGCTGCTCCTATTACAACAAATAAATACGATTGTATTATAATCTCAAAAATTTGAAAGAAAAAGTTTCTGTCATTTGGCAGGATAGATTTTTATTTTTAGAGGAATGCTTACCCATGATTACAACTCAAAATGAAAAGTCATAGCACAACAAAATGAGTTTAAATCTCTGAAATAATGTTACAAAATTTGACAACAACTAGTAAATAAAGACTTCCTGAAAACAGGGTCAAGCACAATGACTAAATTCCACAATCCTATACCTTGTTTAAATCATTATTTGTGATTCTGTGGGTTTAGTGGCTTTATGTGGTGACTTTATGAAGCATCAAGGGAAAGCTAATAAATCCTCTTTAGACACAATGTTAATACAGAGGTATTATAATCTCCTACTTTCTACATACATTGGAGAGATCAGAAATGAGCAATTTGTTGGCATTTTGGTGGTTTATAACAAAAGTAACAGTAGTCCTCATTTTCTTATTAAAAATACTTACACTTGATGAATGATGATTTAATTGAACTGGAAAAAGTTAGTCATTTTAATGACTAGGAAGTTTAAAGTTATAAAATCTGTGAAGACGAAATCAACCTTGCACCAAATCAGATGTGTTTAAAGTGTGTCAGGAGCTTTGCCCCGGCCAGTGGTTTTGTTTAATTTAATTATAAGTTCATTTTGAAATTTATCTTACTATGTTTAAATTTTACACATTTTTAAAATAAAATTTTTTCTCTCAAAATTATATTTAGAGGCTATTCACAATTTGTAGTTTCGAAAACAGGGAAAATCCCCTGTCATTCAATTTTTCTCTTATTGATTATCAGAATCTATTTCCTTAAATAGGTTGTATTTTATCATTCAAAATGTTTTCTGTCTTCACTTAAAACATTTTATGGTTTATTTTCAGTTCGTAATATTTCATTAAAAATTAAAATGAATTAAAAATATTCTCATGTACATACAAGAGATAAACACATCTTACTAGAAACTACAGGAATCAATTTTTTTCCACTTACCTTTTTCTCCTTTGGCAATATAGGACCATAGGATTAGAACATTGCCTAAAAGCAATATGCTAGACCATCCCATTTTTAAATCTTAGAGGTCTTCAGTAGTGGGGTTTCTGGGAGTCTTGTCATTAACAGTAATGTTCATGACTTTCAATTTCACTTTATTACCAGCAGCTAGTTTGGTAAATATCAAAGGTCACAAAAGGGGAGCAAAATAAACAATGTTTAAACTTGTTTACACATTAATACTCTAGGTTAATCATTTTACAGTTATTAAACAATAAAATACCATTCAGTTTATTTGTGCCAGTATCCTATTTGATCAGTATCAATATCAAATCAAGCTATTAAGAAAGGAAGATAAACGATTAAATTTTTTTACCTGCTTCTAGGTATCATAGCTGGGCAAGAACTGTTGGTTTAATCTTTTGAGACCGACAAGAGAAACACAGACACTCCTCAATCCTCTAAACTTTCTGGCCATCCAGCAGGGGTTTCTCTCCCTGGCTACTGCCTCGTTCTTCCTATCCCAACCCAGTGTGCTCCCAGGCACCCCTTCTCTTCTGCAGGGTCATAAGATCCCCCAACTCAGCTTGTTTTGGGGACAAAGTGGTGAATGAAACTGGGCAGGAGTTCCTTTGTTTCACTGAGCCTGCACACAGCAAGCCTGCCCTTTTGTCTGCGAGGTCCCTGGCCAGCAAGTGGTCCCAATCATGTACCAGAAGATCCATCAGAGAGCATTTGAAGGAAGAGATGGGCAGGCACCCATGCAAGAATTCCTCCAACAATCTGAAAAACAACATTGTAACACCAGAAACCAGCGAACATACAACAGGAAGACTTGAACACCCTAATCCAGAAGAAGTAGAAAAGATAGACATTATGAAAGTGATAGAGTCCCTTAAACAGGATGTGAAAAACTCCCTTAAAGAAATGGATGAGTAGAATAACAAAAAGTTAGAAGAAATGAATAAATCCCTAAAAGATACCTAGGAAACCAAGAAAAAACAACCAAACAGATAATTGAAACAGTTCAATTAATTGAAAACTGAAATGGAGGCAATGAAGAAAACACAAACCGAGAAATGGCTGGATATGGAAAATCTGGATAAATGAACAGGGACTACAGAGACAAGCATAACCAACAGAATACAAGAGATAGAAGAAAGAATCTCAGTTGTTGAAGACACTATACAGAAAACAAACGAACTGATCAAAGAAAACAGCAAATCCAACTAATTCTCATCATAATCTGAGATATCATAAAAAAACCAAACTAAGAATAATAGGTGTAGAAGAAGGAGATTTATATCTCAATAGCCCAGAAAATATATTCAACAAAATTATAGAAGAATACTTTCCCAACCGAAAGAAGGATATTCCTATGAAGGCTGAAGAAGCATACAGAACACCGAATAGATTGTACCAAAAAAAAAAAAATAAAGAGAAAGAAACATCCCCTCACCATATAATAATCAAAGCACAAAACATACAGAATAAAGGAAGACTATTAAGAGCTGAAAAGGAAAAAAGGTCAAGTAATTTATAAAGATAAACCTTTCAGAATTACGCCTGACTTCTCTATAGAAACCATAAAAGACAGAAGGTCTTGGATAGATGTGCTGCAGAAACTAAGAGACCATGGATGCAAGTCCAGACTACTATACCCAGCCAAGCTTTCATTCACCATCAATGGAGAAAACAAAATATTCCAGGATAAAAACAAATTTAAACAATGCTTAGCCACAAATCCAGCCTTATAGAAAGTAATAGAAGGAAAACCACAACCCAAGGAACCCAACAATACCCACAATAACTCAGAAAACTAACAACCCTTCACCAGCAAAACTCAAAGAAGGAAAACACACAAACTCTACCACCAAAAAACAAACAAACAAACAAACAAACCAGAGTTAACAACCACTGGTCATTAATATCACTTAATGTCAATGGAATCAATTTACCTATAGAAAGGCACAGGTTAAGAGATTGGATGTGAAAAAGGATCCAACATTCTGCTGTTTACAAGAAACACACCTTAACCACAAAGACAGGCATCGACTCAGAGTAGAGGGTTAGGAAAAGGGTTTTCAATCAAATGGACCTCAGAAACAAGCAGGTATGGCTATACTAATATCTAACAAAATTGACTTCAAACTAAAATCAAGCAGAAGAGATGGAAATGGATGCTTTATACTCATAACAGGAACAATTCATCAGCATGAAGTTTCAATCATGACTATCTATGCCCCTAATATAAAAGCACCCACTTATGAAAAGAAACATCACTAGAACTCAAGGCACACATCAAACCCCATATATTAATAGTAGGAGACTTCAACACTCCTCTCTCACCAATGGATAGGTCAATCAGACAGAAACCTAACAGAGAACTAATGGAGGTAATGAATCAAATGGACTTAATAGACATATATAGAACATTCCACACAAATAGGAAAGAATTTACCTTCTTATCAGCATCTCATGGAATCTTCTTGAAAATTGATCACATACACAGTAACAAAGCAAACTTCCACAGATATAAAAAAAAATATTTGTAACCTCCTGTGTCTTATTGGATCACCAGGGAATAAAGTTAGAATTTAACTATAATTCTACACCCAGAAAGCCTACAAACTCATGGAAGCTGAACAGTCAACTACTGAACCACCCCTGGGTCAGGGAAGAAATAAAGTAAGAAATTAAAGTCTTCCTTGAATTCAACAAAAATAAAGACACAACATACCCAAACCTATGAAACACTATGAAAGCAGTACTAAGAGGAAAGTTTATAGCTCTAAGTGCCAGCATTAGAAAAAAAAAAAAAAACGGAGAAAGCTCACATTAGAGACTTAACAGCACACCTTACAGCTCTAGAAAAAAGAAGCAGACTCACCCAGGAGGAGTAGAAGACTGGAAATAATCAAACTGAGAGCTGAAATCAACAAAATAGAAACACAGAAAACAATCCAAGAATCTATGAAACAAAGAGCTGGTTCTTTGAGAAAGTCAACAAGATTGACAAACCTTTATCCAAAGTAATCAAACAGCAGAAAGAGAACATGCAAATTAACAAGAACAGAACTGAAAAGGGAAACATAACAACAGACACTGAGGAAATTAAATCATTAGGACTTACTACAAAAGCTTATATGCCACAAAGTTGGAAAATGTAAAAAAAAGGACTTGTTTTTAGATAAATGTCATTTACCAAAATTAAATCAGACCAGGTGAACAATTTAAATAGATCCATACGTCGTGAGGAAATAGAAGCTGTCATAAAAAACCTCCCAACCAAAAAAAAAAAAAAAAAAAAAAAGCCCAGGACCAGATGGTTTTAATGCAGAATTGTATCAGAACTTCCAAGAAGAGATGATACCTATACTCCTTAATGTGTTTCACACAATAGAAACAGAAGAGTCATTGCCAAACTCTTTTTATGAAGCTACAGTCAACCTGATTCCAAAACCACATGAAGACCCAACCAAGAAAGAGAATTACAGACCAATCTCACTCATGAACATCAAAGCAAAAATTCTCAATAAAATTCTGGCAAACAGAATCCAAGAAAACATCTAAGAATTATCCATTATGGTCAAGTAGGTTTCATCCCAGAGATGCAGGGCTGGTTCAACATACAAAAATCTATCAATGTAATCCATTATATAAATAAACTGAAAGAAAATAACCATATGATCATTTCATTCGATGCTGAAAAAGCATTTAACAAAATTCAACACCCATTTACGATAAAGGTCTTGGAGAGGTTAGGGATACAAGGATCATACATAAATATAATAAAAGCAAAATATAGCAAGTCAACAGCTAATATCAAATTAAATGGTGAGAAATTCAAAGCCATTCCACTAAAATCAGGAACAAGACAAGGCTGTCCACTCTCACCATATCTCTTCAACATAGTGCTTGAAGTTCTAGCAATAGCATGAAGACAACATAAGGAGATCAAGGGGATTTGAATTGGAAAGGAAGAAGTCAAACTTTTGTTATTTGCAGATAATATAATAGTGTACATTGGTGACCCCAAAAACTCTACCAAAGAACTCCTACAGCTCATAAATTTCTTCAGTGATGTGGCAGGTTACAAGATCAACTCAAAAAAATCAGTTGCCCTCCTGTATACAGTAAGGAAAGAGAAGCAGAGAGGGAAGTCAGAGAAACTTCACATTTTATGATAGCCACAAAAAGCATAAAGTATCTTGTGGTAACTCTAACCAAGCAAGTAAAAGATCTATTTGACAAGAACTTTAAGTCTTTGAAAAAAGAAATTGATTGTTTCCAGGTTCTGGCTATTACAAATAACGCTGCTATGAACATAGTTGACAAATGCCCTTGTCATATGATCGAGCATCTCTTGGGTATATTCCCAAGAGTGGCATTGCTGGGTCCAGGCATAGGTTGATCCCAAATTTCCTGAGAAACCGCCACACTGCTTTCCAAAGTAGTTGCACAAGTGTGCATTCCCACCAGCAATGGATGAGGGAACCCCTTCCTCCACAGCCTCTCCAGCAAAGGCTATCATTGGTGTTGTTGATTTTAGCCATTCTGACAGGAGTAAGATGATATCTCAAAGTTGTTTTGATTTGCATTTCCCTGATCGCTAAGGAGGTTGAGCATGACCTTAAGTGTCTTTTGGCCATCTGAACTTCTTCTGTTGAGAATTCTCTGTTCAGATCAGTGCTCCATTTTTTAATTGGGTTAATTAGCCCTTTAAAGTCTAGTTTCTTGAGTTCTCTATATATTTTGGAGATCAGACCTTTGTCTGTTGCGGGGTTGGTGAAGATCTTCTCCCAGTCAGTGGGTTGCCTTTTTGTTTTAGTGACAGTGTCCTTTGCTTTACAGAAGCTTCTCAGTTTCAGTAGGTCCCATTTATTCAATGTTGCCCTTAATGTCT